CTTTGATTTTATTCCCTCTTTTTTGGGGGAAATGCTGTGAATCTTAACGGAAAACTCCACTTAAAATGTTATTTTCCATACTCTCCTTACAGTCCGATCATTTGCAAAGAGACGTTTTCCCATGTATATTAGGGTCTAGAATGATTCTAAGCAGGTAAAAATGATCAGATCTGAATATCTCACAATGCACTGGTTCTTGGATGGTTTGGTGTTCACATCCATTGGATGTGCCATTCCGTAGGTAAGAGTGGGATGGGGTGTGGTCAAACGATTGTCTACCATGGGGAAAAAAGTTATCGGTAAAACTGTTTGTTAAAAAAAAGTGCAGATAGACTTCCAGCAGAAGAAGTTTTATGGGCACAAGAGGGGAAATCTTTCAGATGTGGAAGAAAAAGGACAAAACTAAAAAAGGTGCTAGTAAAAATAGTAATGTATCTATTCCTCATTTATTGCTGAAAACTTACTTGGATCTAGAAAAACTAACCAGTTAGTGTGAGTCAGAATTTATTGTGGATTAGCTAGTTTGCTAATACCATGCCAATCTGTGCTTTATCTTGACCAGTTCCCTCATTTAATTGGTCAAGAGGTCAAAAGGGCTGTGGACAGAGAGGCAAATGAGAGTATCATGAAAAGGAGGGATGCACCGGTACCGATACTAGTATTGGTATAGGTGCCGATACTGAGTATTTGGTCAAGTACTCGTACTCACCCAAATGCTCCGATACCTTCCCCTGATACCAGAACTTCCTGTCAGAGGAAGATTTTCCCTGACCGCTAATGCCATAGGGGAACATGGAGCCAGCTTCCTGTGCAATCAGGAAGCTGGGAGGCGAGCAATGACCTGCCTCCCGGCTTCCTGATTCGCCGGGAATCCGGCTCCATGCTGATTGACCGAGAAGCCGGCTTCCCGACCAATCAGCATCAAGCCGGCAGAACAGCTGGGTCCATGCTGATTGGCCGGGAACCTACAATTACATTATAGAACTAAGAATAGAACATAAAATCAAACTATTTTTTTTTCTAATACTCACCTGATACTGCTATTAGAGATATATACAGTATGTAGTATACCATTGCTGATCTCCTTATGAAAATACTAGTTGCTCTTAGTTGCTGAAACTACTAGCCTGGCTCCCTGACACCAAACTGGTTTGCAGATCATAAAAGGCATAAGTCATTATCAGTATCAGGAATTCAACTTATTGAAGCCGGGTACAGCCAAACAACTAGAATATTCAAAGGGGTCATTCAGAAAATGCAGCCTCCATCTTTCCACATCACTTTTTTTCTTTTTAAGCAATGTGATCTCTTCTTCAGCTTTTCAGATGAGAATAAAATCTATCAGGGCCCAGTATATTGTTTGTGATAGTCCGTGCAAGCCCACATTGGCAGCTGTAATTGCCAGACTGTTTTTCATTGCCTTCCCTGCTCTCACACCTCCTTCTTCTTGCATTTAAAATTCTGGCCTTTTTTTTCCATAATCACAATCAAATGTGTTTTGTTCCCATGTGTGGCACATGACAAATCACAGAGGGGTTTGTAAAGGAAGTGGCAGCTGTCTAGAAGCTGCTCCCTTACAATCTCCCATTAGATCTGTGAAATGCATCCTTTATTCCTAAAATTACTCTGAAAGGCCTCTTTATTCCAAACAAAATAACAGTGTATCTCTACTGGATGGATGACAAGAAAATCATTTAGGATGATGTGTTGGTATCCTGGTGGTTAAATAAATATCGGAAAATCACAGTTGCCACAGGACTCTGTCCCAGGTTTTGAAGATTTGTCCTCTGGAAATGTCCTTAGCTTTTCACACTGGCACCATACAGTTTTCTATTTCTCTGTGTTATGGTATAAGTATAAAAATGATATATTTCTAGAGCATATATTCTTTACATTATTATTCCAAAAGCTGAACTCCAGGCAAATGCCTAAATACACCAATGTTATACGTATACGGGAGCTTTTTTACCTGGCAAAAGATTTGTATTTCTGGCCATCTAGTTCTGAGATTAACCCGGCTCTGCCACACCGCACAGCCATGAAAAGAGAAGCAGCATACTTATAAGCTCATCTCTCTGTCACTCTGCTCTCTTCACCTATTGGCATGCCCCTTGCCCTTCAGCACAACTGATTGCTACCTCTAGCCTGAGATCTGCTGCACAGGGACTGCAAGAGGCTGATAACAAGTCAAAACAAACATTTAGGGATGTATTCATGAATACAGAATTAAATTCATTTGTGTCTTTTTTTTATTGCTTGGAGTTCAGCTTTAAAGTTATTTTTGATGTGACTATCACAATTTGAATTGACTGCTTTGACATATTTTTGTTATTTTGTTATAGAGATTTGGAGATTAACCACTTGGGGAAGCTCTTTACTTAACTCTGCCTTATTAAACAACTTGCTTAAAGAGAAGTTGTTAGTCTTTAAAAAAAAAATCATAATGCAAGTCCCCTGCAATAGACGATGTGTTATACTCACCTGTCTAACGGCCTCAGTCTCTGATATTTCCTATGAAGACTCTATAGCATTTGACACTTCCAGGAGTGTCCGATGCCTTTGTTCCCTGCCCCATGCTGTACTTCCTTGCTTGACTCCTTGGAAATTGTCCGGGGCTGTGGACATCCAACACTACAGGAAATGTTAAAAGCCAAAGAGAGGGTTTCAGAGGCTGCAGTGCTGAAATGGAGAGAAGGTAGGAGACACGGGCCACCGAAGAGGTGAGTATAAATGCTCTTCTATTGCATGGGACTTGCATTGTATTTTTTTTACAGACTGTCAGGGTCTCTTTAAAAAGATACCCATGTTTTGCCCCCTCTTCAGCAGCACATGCTTCCATTACACTGACCCTACATTTTACCATCATGATCAAAGAAAGTCCCTGGTATTTACTGGTACTGCAACATATAACACTTATGTGACAGTGGTGGCCATTCACTAACACTGTAACACGGGGATCCCCTGATGACTAAACAAAGTGGTGGGGAAGTAAAATAGAGGTGAGTGTGTGCTGCTGGGGATGGGGGGGAGAAGGTTATAGAAATTGTTGCTTTGTCTTGCATTTGACCACTGTTGAGATAAAATATCAGCCATACAGGGTGTGCATTCATTTTTAAGAGTCGGCCAACACATAGACTTGCATTGTGATAAGAAACAATAAAGCACAACTATTGTGAACAATACTAAGCAAAGAAGACATGTCTACATTTGTAATGGATTGCCCTATGTGCAAATATAATAATAT